GAGAGAATTTCAGCTGACCCAAAACTATTAGTGAATTTGTGTCAAATTCACCAATTTTTTTTTTTTGGTCAAAACTGCTTTGACATTACCAAAACATCATTTTTTTCAGGTTGGAGTAACAAAACAGCTGAAGGAAGGGGTGGGGGTGCCCCCTTTATAAAGTTTAGTGTACTCACCTGGGACTGTAGGAGAGTACCCTACCCACTGGGCTGGATAGTCTGGTGGGGGGGTGGGGGTTCTCAATCTAGATAATTAATCAGTCATTGGAGCAGTGATTGAAGTTGGGTCTCCCACATACTGAGTGAATGCCCTAACCCCTGTGGAGCCATAGACTCATTCCCTTTCCCTGGCCCACTGTCATTATGAATAACTATGAATTGATAGTATGAATGACAATGAACAATTGGACCAGGGAAAGAGAATGAGAATGCCTTTATAGCCCAGGGGTGTAGGGCACTCACAGGAGATGGGAGATCCAAGTTCAATCCCTGATTTGAGGACTGTTTATTTAAACAGAATGAAACAGTTTCAACAGGAGAGAGACCCACACCAGAACATCCAGCCCAGTGGTTAGGGCACTCTCTGCAATGTAGCCAACCCAAATTCAGAAAGGGCAGAATAGAACTTGGGTCTCCCACATCCCAAGTAATAAGGGGAGCACCACCAGCCACCACCGCAATCTCCCCCTCCCTGGTTTTGTGAGTACAGTCATCCCTTAAAAAAAAAAAGCCTGAAATCAAAACAAAAAAAATACGAGTTGGCTTGAAGAAAGTGTTTCATTCGACCCAACTAGAAATGTTTCCTGATTTTTTTGTATATGCCCAAAAAAAATTATAAAAAAATTGTTCTCAGTTCACCCCAAAACAAGATATTTTCAGACTTGCCAGAGTACTGAAAAATCCATCCCTCACTGAATTCTGCCCATAACATTTCCTTACAAAGTTTCTGAACACCGCCCTCGCACCCAAACCTGCCCAATAACCGCCTACAGACCCCATAACATCCCCTACAGACCTCCCACCACCCCAGAACCAACGTGCCCACAGCCTCCTACAGGCAACTAACACTCCCAGCCAACACTCCTGTAACCGCTCACAGAACCCCCAAAATACCCCCACCAACCCCCATAACGCCCTTCACACCCCAAAATATCCCCCACAAACCACCCCATAACCCCAAGGCAACCAATACCCAGCCCCCACATAACCACCTACAGGCCCCCCCACGTACCCTAAAAACACCAGCCCAGCCCCCTACAAAAACTCTCCCCAGAACCCCCCCCCCGGGCAACCAATACACCCCACAGACCCCCAACAACCTCAACACACAGCCCCGCCCCCACCCCCCATAAACCGCCACAGCCCCCCGCGACCTGCCCCACAGCTCATCCAGCCCCTGCAGGCCCCGCCCCCGTGGCCCCCTTCCCAGCCCCTACCTGCGCTGGGCTCCGCGCCGGCCTCGTCGCGTTTCCTCTGCATGGGGGGGAAAGCGAAGCGAAGCGCCCGGCAGCCCCAGCTCCGCTCCGCCCGCGGTTGTGCTAGGCTCCGCGGTAACCGGCTCGGGCAGCCGCTCGGCTGCGGACACGCGACACGTGGGGAGGCCCAGCCAATCGCGCCGCGCCGGCTCTGCCGCGGAGAAGGGGAGGGGGCCGTGGGTCGGGGGAGAAAAGGGGAGGGGGGAAGGGAGTCAGGACAGTAGACCCCTGAGGCGCTCTTCCCCTGAGACATGGGGTGGCCCCACCATCCGGGGCACGTCTCGTGGGGCAGAGGCAGGCGAGTGGCCTCTCCCGGCAAAGGATTCGGAACCCCCCGGCGTCCCTGCGCCGGTGGGACGCCCGCAAAACAGCTGCGCAACCCTCCAGCCTTTGCACTGAAGGACAAGCGCCCTCGGGATACGTCTACACTACAGAGCCCCCTTGTAGAGGCGGCGATCGCCAGCGGGAGTTCTGCTGGTGTGGACGCAACCTCCCCCTGTGACGCTAGCGGTGCAGACAGAAGCACTCTTCTGTGGGCATTGTTGCATCCAGACCGAGGGTTTTGTTGGTCTCGCTGGGTTGATGGTGGGTGCAGTTTTTTCAACACTCCTGGCTGACATGACTATGCCCGTGTCAGGTTTGAAGTAGGGTGACCAGACCGCAAATATGAAAAATCGGGACGGGGGGTGGAGGGTAATAGGTGCCTATATAAGAAAAAGACCCAAAAATCGGGACTGTCCCTATAAAATCGGGACATCTGGTCACCCTAGGTTTTAAGTGTACAGTAGACCCGTCTTCAGCATTCATTAGTGGTAATACAGTACTTGTCTTCTCCCTGCAGAGGACTGTGATGCACAGGCAGAGCTTAATTCTCCATAGCCTTTGAACCTGGAGCAGTTACTGTATTTATGTCTGTGCACACAGTATTGTCAGCCTCGGGTGTTCAAAAATCATGGCAGGTTCCGGGGGTGGGAGAACATGAGCTTGGCTTAAAAATCATAAGTTTTTTTAGAAATAATACATGTTTGGTTCTTTTCCTTTCCAGTTTTTAAGTCTTTAGTTTATATTTGGTTCATGTTTCCAAGAGACAGGGAAGTGTTAGTACCATTATACAAGGCACTCGTGAGACCGCCTCTGGAATAGTGTGTGCAATTCTGGTCTCCCATGTTTAAGAAAGATGAATTCAAACTGGAACAGGTGCAGAGAAAGGCTACTAGGATGACCCGAGAAATGGAAAACCTATCTTATGAGCGGATTCTCAAAGAGCTTGGCTTGTTTAGCCTAACCAAAAGAAGGCTGAAGGGAGATATGATTGCTCTCTATAAATATATCAGACAGATAAATTCCAGCGAGGGAGAGGAGTTATTTGAGTGCCAAAGTGGACACAAGAACAAATGGATATAAAGTTTAGACTTGAAATTAGACGAAGGTTTCTAACCATCAGAGGAGTGAAGTTCTGGCACAGCTTTCTAAGGGGAGCAGTGGGGGCAAAAAAACCTAACTGGCTTCAAGACTGACCTTAATAAGTTTATGGAGGAGATGGTATGATGAGGCGCTAGATAGGTAGGGCTCTGAGTTACTACAGAGAATCCTTTCATAGGTGTCTGGCTGGGTGGGTCTTGCCACATGCTATGGATCTAACTCAGGGGTAGTCAATAGGAGGCCCACGGACCAAATCCAGACCACCTGATAATATTTGGGGTTGTTAAGGAATTTTCTCCCAAATCAGATTGGTAGAGACCTTTGGGGGGTTTCATCTTGCTCTGCAGCATGGGGCCTGGGTCACTTGCAGGTTTAAAGCAGTGTAAATGGTGGATTCTCTGTAACTTGAAGTCTTTAAATCATGATTTGAGGACTTCAGTAACTCAGCCAGAGGTTAAGGGTCTATTACAGGAGTGGGTGGGTGAGGTTCTGTGGTCTGCAATGTGCAGGAGGTCAGATTAGATCAGCGGTTCTCAAACGTCATTGCACCGCAACCTCCTTTTAACAACAAAAATCACTACATGACCCCAGGAGGCGGGACTAAAGTTTCAGCCCACCTGCGCACTGCCACCCTGGGTGGGGGACCAAAGCTCAAGCCTCACCCCCCCCCATGCAGAGGCTGGCAGGGACAAAGCCAAATCCCAGGGCCTCAGCCCCAGGCTGTAGCCTAAGCCCCGCCACCCAGGGCTGAAGCTGAAGCCTGAGCCCTGCAGCCCAGGGCTGAAGCCCTTGGCTTGGCTTCAGCCCCGGGCCCAGCAAGTCTAACACCAGCCCTGGTGACCCCATTAAAACGGGATCGCGACCCACCTTGGGGTCCTGACCCACAGTTTGAGAACCCCTGGACTCGATGATCATGATGGTCCCTTCTGACCTTAAAATCTATGAGTCTAAGCTTTTCTCTGCAGCGGTGAGAGCTAGAAATGTAATAATTTAATGAAAGCAGCGATTCTCAAGCAGTTTTCTGAATTCAGCAACTGTGGCTGTCAAGGCTGTATCCCCACTTTGAACTTTAGGGTACAGATGTGGGGGCCTGCATGAAGACTTCTAAGCTTAACTACCAGCTTAGTTCTGGTCCACTGCCACCATCCCAAAGCTAATTCCCTTCCCTGGGTAGCCTTGAGAGACCTT